ACATGGTGAGAAGCCCTTCTGGTTCTTTGAACTCTTGGGTATTTCATCCTGAAAGTTAGGACATTGAGCCCTTTTACCCCCTTGCCTCTTTCTACTCCTTTCATGTGGTCATTGTGCGAGAAAAATAAGTCATCATATAATGATTATTTAATTAACTACAATACGGTGCTTTATATTATCATTCCTAGTTCAAACATGTCTTTTTTTTTTTAACTATTAAGGTGCACTTGACATTCTTACTTAATCCTCATGTTGGCCAACTCGTGTTAACGGGAATGGGCATGCAGAATCCAGTGGTCTTCTTTCTACCTTATTGGGAGTTGGCTGTGAATGCTTTGGGTATGAGGTTCGGGTAGTTGGGCATTCTCTTGGAGGTGCTATTGCTGCATTGCTTGGAATACGAGTACGACATTTTACTTAAAATGATATTTTTGGTTGACATAATGACATTCCATTTTCATTGCATTGAGTTTACAACTTTTTTTTTTTTTTTGGGTTTTTTGGCCAAAACCATTGAGTTTACCATGAATACAGGGTATTGTGAACAAAATATTGCATGTCCTTGGTTCCTTACACCTATGCGGATCATAGATGCGAATATGCTAGCCATTTGTGTCCAATCTTTTTGTGAGGAGGGAACATAGCGCATTTATCTGGATCCCAATCTTATTATTTTATTAGCACAGCTTTGCATTTGAAATCCTTCAGCAAAAACTATCAGACAACTAACAGATTTATGAAAATGATTGCTGAGTATGTGAAAGGAAATTAACAATTACTTCTGTTCTAACTGATGTATAAGAATGATTTGTCCAAATTTTAGAAAATCAAATACAAGAATTTAAACCTCGTTTGAGTTCCTTCTAATGGGGGGTATATATTTTTACGAGCTCCTTTTCTTTCATTGGATGCATAGTTCCCTTTATTAGTATCGGGGGGGGAAAAGGCTTGTTTCTCTCGACCTTATAATGCTATAAGGATTATTTTTCATTTGTATGTTTTTAGTACTCTAGAATAATAATTCTGTTTGATGGAGAGCATTTCCTTATCATTTTCCTTTCTTATTTGGCTTGAGTGCTGCATTTTCTCTGCATCATTTAGTTTTTTATGTTCATTTTTTTGTTACCTTCTGCACAGCTATATCACCTCTATCCTAATCTGCGTGTCTATGCATATGGGCCACTCCCATGTGTGGATTTGGCTGTGGCAAATGCATGTTCGGGATTTGTGACAAGGTGATTGCAGTGGGAATTTATGCACTAGTTTTATTGTGTTTTGTTTATTTCATTTAAATCATTTATTCTTTATGCAGTATTATATTTGGCAATGAATTTTCATCATGCCTTTCAATTGGATCGGTTCTGCGGTTAAGGGCAGCTGCAATCACTTCTCTGTCAGAATATCCTAGAGCTGATGCTGACACGATTTTCCAACTTGCCCGTCAGTTTCTATACAAGAGCAAATGTGAAAGTAGTGAGATTACTTCAGCTCAGGATCAATCTGATTATTATTCGGGGGCCATCCCTATCGAAGATTTAAACCATCGACTATGCAGAAGCCAGACTGAGATTAGTACTATAGGTTGTTCATAGTGTCTTGATCTATTGTTGGCATGTAGAAGAGAGTATGTTGCTGATTTTATGATCAATGATGAAAACTGGGGACGATATTTTCATCAGGCTTGTTGGTCAAAGGTGCTTACTAACAGTATTAATTAATGGTGCAGGTAACACGGAAGAAGACATTCAAGAATTTCCGCTCTGGTCTGAAGCTACCAGATGCGGTCGTGTAAGAAGTGACAACAGTGAATTCACAAATTATTTTGCCAGTGAAGGTTGTAAATCATTTACAGTGCTGATAGCTTCCATGGAAATATCATATATTGTTATTTGCCATCATGAATCAGGGAAACCATGCACCAGTCCTGCATAATTAGAGATTCTGTCTCTAAGTGCTTTCTTTTTAACTACAGGCAACAGTGAGCATGAAGAGCATTCTCTCTGGGTTGGCGATAGAACAAAAGACCAAGGTGATGAAATTCATGATGGCGAATTCACGAATCCTTTTGCTGCAGATGTGAATTCAAACAGTGATCTTGTGTCTCATTTGATAGATGTGGTCCAAACTACAGAAAATGAGGCAGCCAGCAACCACCCCGACATTTATCTTCCAGGACTTGTAATTCATATCGTGCCAGAACCTAAAAACTCCCATAATGCACTTTGGACACCTTTTAGACTGCGGGGGAAGGAAAATCATTACAAAGCTTATATAGCAGATAGAGAAAAATTCAAAGATATTGTTGTTTCACCATCCATGTTCCTTGACCATCTCCCTTGGAGGTATGACGAGCCACAAACCAAGTCTTTTTCTCGTTGCCATATATGATTGTTGCGTCCTAACCTAACTAGTTTGATGACATTTGTTTTGGTCATATTTTCGATTTTTAGATGTCATATGGCCTTGCAAAAACTACTGGAGGCTCGAAATGCCCAGTCAAGCGATGGAACCTCTTTGCGTGAGTAAATAATGAGAGCATATGTAGTTGTCACTCTTAAGAATATATTACCTGCTATGAAAGGTAGGCCTAATTTTTTCATGATATATTGTACTATATCCTTGTAATTTAAATTCACAGGTCCTAAATGGTCCGATTCAATATAACAAGGTTCTTTGTATGACCCGTTTATGTACAATCACTATCCTTAAGGAAATAAAAATTTAAAAGATTTTTATTATTTATAAGTCAAGAAAAGTCTGGTTCATTTCTCACACACTGTTTTGTTTTGCCGGCATTTCTCACGTTTTATATATTGCATGGGATCACAATGAATATATAATTTTGACAAAAAGCATTCATGTACTCAATTCTTAGCCATGTTACGTAGGGTCTCCGACATAAGGATGCTGTGCTTAAAGAAAACTGTTAAGTAACAACACTTGCCTTCCGAATCATCAGTATAAATGTTCTTATATATAATTTTTACACAAACTTTTACTTGAAAAAAATACATCAAAATAAGCATGCTAGTTCCCTCCATTAGCTGGGGCAGCGATGCTTTATTTTAGGATCAGGAATGGAAATAGGAAGATTCAAATGCTTTCTTTTCCCATACAAGTCCACTGCTTTTTCCCCCCATATAATTAAGGTTTTTCAAGTAATGTACTTATTTTTCCCAAATATTTAGACTTATAATAATATGTACAAAAATTGAAGGAATTAAAAAAATTTCTTAAGAGTTCAGTAAAATGAATAGAAAAATTATTAGAAAAATAAAATGCATTTTTTTATTAAGTTTGAAAAGAATGACAGCTTATAAAGAGTGTAATTCTCCACACCCTACGCATTTTAAATGTTCTATTGATTGGAAATGACTGCGTGAGCCTGAGCGCGCACATACACTAACCATTCCTGGTTATGGATACCGGGGCTCTATAAAATTAATAATTTGTGATGAATGATTCTCAGATCCAACTCATTCGGCTTGAAAGATTCTAACTTCCTTAACCAAAATCACTGTCATCTTCTCATCTCCACTATACATCAGGAATCTATGACTTTGATCTAGATAATTCTGATCCAGAAGATTACATGAATTTGTCTCCAAGTCATAAACCTATCTTCAAGGACTAAAAATAAGGATGACTTATCAGGAATTTACTTTAAGAGTGACTCATATATCTGTGTCACGTGTCTACCTTAAATTTGTTTTGAGTTTATGAGTGCTTGCCCAGTTTAATAATTAAGGACATATTTGCCTTTATGTCATGTGTCTGTCTGGAATCTTTACTTTTATGTTTGTGTAATTATTTTAGTTTATTTGTTATATTGTAATCTTAGAGTCTATATAAACAGTCTTTGCCAAGTGATAAAATAGAAGGAGCTGTATGAACTCTCTTGTATAATATCAATCTATAAATACTCTCTAAAGCTTTTTTCTCTTCTGAAAGCCTAACTTATGTAATATTCTTTTCCTGTTATCAAAGATTTTGAGTATGCTCTGCGTTTGCCTCTCTAAGAGAATCCTGTGTATCAGAAAACAGAATTTGACTATAATCTATTAAGGAGTGTTTAGTGATAAGTCTCTAAATTTCTTAGTCCTGATATTCAAAGGCGAGAGTCTGACCCTTTGATGTATTGAGATGTGGCCTTGCCAGGGCAAAATCTTTGAATGTCAGACGAGGTTAGCTTAGTTTGTTTAAGCAGACTCCCTCGAATGATTCAAGTTAAATTATTCGCTTCTGTTATTCAACACCCAAATACGCAATAGACTGAGTGATAGGCGTTGTTGGTGTCAGAATAAATATATTAATTTTAATCAAAGCATGGCAAATATATGGTCCAGTTGCAGAATCACACGCCGGGTAAACGAAAATTCACATATTTATCATGTTATTATTACAAATTTATATCGCCATAAGTAAGTACTCCTCCGGTCCTTAATATAAGACTCATTTAACTAATTTGATTACATTAAGAAAGTTAGGTAAGTTAGTTAATTATGAGAAATGTAACATATTTTTCCTAAAATACCATAATCATCTTTCTTAACACCCTTCTCCCTCTTCTACTTGATTATGGTTGAGGGAGTATCCATGGGGGTAATCTAGAGAAAATTGATAAATATGATAAACGGATCTTATATTTAGGATCAAAATTAACTTAAGAATTGGGTCCTATATTAAGGACCGGAGGATTATTATTAACAGTATGAAGTGGCTGACTCCAGAGGAAATTTTTTGGTAACAGCCCAAGACTGACTTTGAAATTTCTTGGGCTAAACCTTTTGAGATTGCTGTCAAGCCCATGAGAGTTTGGATCAGAATAGGCCCATTAAGATGCCCAGGTCCATAAAACATAGCGACTCTCGCGCTCAATGTCATTAGTCATTTCGCAGACTTCGCCATTTCAAGGTAGAAAAACTCTTTCTTCTCGTCGCCTTATGAATCTTGATTGCGCGCTGCTTTGAATCTGATGCGGCTGGATTCTGATTCTTTTTTCTTAACCATTTTTTCTTTGTTTTCCGTTATATTCGTTAACTCGCTCAGGGGAATGCTCAAATAGCTTGCTTTTTTTTTTTTTTTAATACTCAAATCCACATGGAGCATGAACGGCCCCGGCTTTCAAGTTTAAACTGAAATTCTGGTTAGCAGCATGAAGCGTCTGGAAACTGCAGCATTTACCCTGCTTCGCACTTAGAAACACACAGGCAAAATTTCAATTATCTTTTGAAAATTCCCACTTTTTACTCTTGCTGTAAATCGTGACATTGAAATCTGTCCAGGGTATTAATAATCTCGTGAAGTAATGTTATTTTGAAAGTCAATCACAATGGAATTGATCCCCAAGAATATTTATCTGGTGAAATGCATGAAAGGTTGTCTCACAATCATTCTTTCTTTGTTCTCATAGTGCCGGTCTTAGCAATTGTAATCGTACAAACCATTGGTCTTCAGCTGTAGTGTTGCAACTTTGTGTCTTTACATAGCCTGTAATTTAAGTGTTACCATGGTTTTAAATTTTTGATGACAATTAGGGTCACGATAATGCTATTTGGTCAGGTTCCCCGACTGCAATAAGGCGTGACTTCTTTTTTTTTTTTTTTGGGGGGGGGGTTGGGTTTAATTGCTAAGTGTTAAGAAGCTCCTCTGCTCTCAGATAAGTAATGTGAAGCAATCTCATGATGACTACCACAGGATCTGAAAGTGCTACTAGCGCCGTCCTGTTGTGTATATTTCTTTTAACATATTTACGAGCATGTGTATCAATGATCTAATATGATTTTCTCCATTCGTTGCAGTTTCTTTTGAGGTCCCTTCTTGTCCTTGCCTCATCTGGTGCTGCTTTAGTATTCAATATGGCCTATGAGATAAGCGAGATAAAGAGTAAGAGCTGTTCATTTCATAGCACTAGGAGGCATGCTCAATATTCAGTTCTCTATTGATAAATATACTCTGTGAAAATTAAACTGCTTTGAGTGTTAATTTAAGCGGAGCTGTTGCTATCGATCTCTGATGCTTACAAGTTGTGAACTATTTGAAATGTTAGTTGGTGTTCTTCTATATTTGAACAGATTGATCTAGTTCTCTTCAATGTTAAAGATTTTTATTCTTTTTATTAATTTCTCGAGCATTTAACCTGGCAGGTGCATAAGTTCCTTTTTGCGCGCATAGATATGAATGCTTTGTGGTTTATTGAGTTTGAACTCTTCAGAAAATTTGGCTTTATTCATCGTAATATTTTATGGATTCTAAGACTTTTCTTAACTTTCTTAACTGGACATGAAAATTTTAGTTGAATATATGAATTACATTTTTTTTTTTGGTATATGAGTATGTGCATTATTACTGGCATATTTGGACATCATTAATTGTCTATCATTAATGTCTTTTTGACCTTGAATTTCTTACGTTGCAGAGGCTGGCATTGGCCTAATTGGCTTTGGCATCTTTTTCTCATTTCTTGGCATACTTCTTTTCTTTGACCGTGGTTTGCTTGCTCTGGGAAATGTAAAGCTTTCCTTTAGAACCTAAATATTGATTTTTCCCTTTGGAAAATAACATAATTTAAGGGGGTAAACCTTACTGTGGCATTTGGGAATCAGATATTCTGGTTGGCAGGTGTGGCACTTTTGCTTGGTTGGCGTTCCACATGGAACCTCTTCACCAACAGAGCAAACTATAAGGTATATTGGGTGAAGTTTCTGTCAATCAATAAAACGTACCCACTCTCTCCTCCTCCTCTCTTCTCTCACCGTCATTCTCTTTCTCTAGTGATAGTTTATACAGATGAAATGGCAAGCATGATTACGGTGGCAATTCATTGTATTGAGAATCCCTCTTTGGCTCTGCCAAATTGGATAGTCTGTATAAAGTTATGTACTTTTCTTTGACCTATTCAGTCCACTTATAGGTTTGATGAATGAAAACTGTAAAATTCAGCACAGATAAATGTGCCTCCTCAGTGTCTTTCAGCCACCCATACTTGAAAGACATCAACGTCTTCTTTTAGCATACTGAGGCATATCTCTGTCATAAACTCTTTCACCTACTTAAGTGCTTTACTGTAGAACTAAGAATTGGTATCTGGTACTAATTGTATTGTAATGAACAATTGAGAGTTTACTTGAGGCAATTTCTCGAGTTTTTGCTTGCTTGGATGTTTTTGGCATCCTTTTACTGCTTCCCATTCTGTACCCTTATTGTTTCTGTGATAGTTTAAGACAAAGAGATTGGCTTTTGAACGTATTTGTCCACTTGCATTCTAGATACTGTTTTCTAGTCTCAGTTTCTTTGATGCTTCCGTCGTGTTAGTCAGCATTACATTCTAGAGACTAATGAAACAATTTCTGACCAGTGTTTTTATGAATGAAAACATTATTCTCCCATGACTAAGTTACTTTGTTTATGGAGCTTTGAGGCCTATAGATCTTCTATGTGAATGGAAAGCATGCCATTCTTATGTATTTTTGTTTTCTCTATGTGTATAGCAAAGGAAGCATTCTTTATGGGGATGAAGAGTTTTTCCCTCCTTTTTGCAGGGTTCTGTATCATTTCTTCTAGGGCTCTTCTTCATTTTTGTTAGGTGGCCCATACTTGGTATAATACTTGAAATATATGGTTGTTTTGTTCTCTTCAGGTTAGTTGGTGCTTTCCTTCTTGAGTTCTAGAATACCTATCACACTTAGACCTGACACAGGCTGGGACTTTTAGAGACAAGAAAAGTATAATTCTGGGCATTCTTTTGTATGCCGAATTGTTTTAAAAGTTTTTAACATGTTGCAGTGAGTTCAGCTTGGATCTAGAAGCCCAGATTCAATTGTAGCCTCACTATTGATACCCCAAATGAGGCTAAGTATGCTTATCGATTATGTTTTTTTTTTGCAGTGGTTTTGGGTCATCTATCAAAGTATTCCTCTATCATATTCCTTTTGTCGGATGGATCGTACGGTACCTGTCTCGTAAGTTCCATTTTCTCAGATTCTTCTTTCAAGATATCGTAGTGGACTCGTTTGTTCTTTTCTTTTCCTGCTTTTCCTTAAAATTTTATTCGAAGCTTTACAAGGAGGTTTGTGTTTAGTCCTGATGGTGATAGCAATCTGTTATGACACCCAGTGATTCATTTCTTGAATCATTAAATTTTTGAAGTTACATATTCGTAACGACACTCTGAATTGATCTGGTTTCATGGTTCCTTCCATTGTTCCCATAAGCTGCCACGTAATACATTTGATCAGATGATCAGATTTGATAATTAGAATAGTGAATTTGTTGGTAACAGGTTTTCTTCCTATTGTAGTTCTGTTGTTTTTGACGGTATAAACAACACGACAAGAGATTTGCAGAGAGTTTACATTTGTTTTTACTGCTTTGCAGCTTCCTAATCGCCTTGTCGGAGCTCGGAAAGGGACAAAATGCCTCTGCTATTTGATGTCTGTCCAACAAAATGGGTTGCGACCTCGCTTGTTATATTTTCGTTCTCTGACTCTGACATGTGAATACGATGGAAAGAACACATACCTTTTCTCAAGAATGCGCTGAAGCAGGTGTCCAATAGTCGCTCCCCTTTAAAAAAAAAAAAATCATGAAAAGTTTGTCTCCATGTGTTCTCAAACAAAGGCACTGAACTTTCTATAATGTTTTGCATATCTGCAAAGAATGGGAAACTCACAACGCCGTTCATTAACCAGGGCTAGGTGAGGCGGCTACCAATAGTCAGATAAAGATTCTAATTTCACGGGTTTTGTTTGGGCCAAGTTCTCTTCCTATGTGGTGACATGTGTACTTGTGCTTCCCCTTCATGGGTGTGGCGTATTTAGAATTGCTTCCCAAATTCTTTCCCCCTTCACTACAAATGAAGTAATAATCGTTCCATTATTATGATTATTTTCTAAGCATGGAATCAAAACTGTGTTTAACATGATTTTCCATACCGCATGAAAACGAATCAGAGTCCCCATGATCAGCTTATTTTTAAGTTTTACATGGAGTGAAAACTTCTTGTGTTAAAGAAAAGTTCTTAATTTGCCAAAGTCGACAGGGAATAAATTCGTGATTCAAATCGTATGGATCACAATTTTTTGTGGGGACAACCATGACTTTGGAGATGGGAATGGTTTGGTTTAACTTCAACAATATCCTTCATTGTCTATCTTATCATAGATGCAAGACATAAGAATGCCGGTAGTTAATTTTGAAGTGTGCCTTTTGAATTATCACTTGCCTTAACGTGATGAATTCTGACACACAGTTTACATGATTTTTTCCCCATGATTTTTTTTCCCCCCCCTCCAAAAAGAGACTCTTCTTGAGGCTGCAATTATAGCTGGCACGTATCATCGTCCGTTGGTACTGGTCTTTCCAGTTTCAGCTTCAAGTTCAACCTTGGAGCGGGGAGGCGTACTCTAGATTCATCTAGAACAACAGTTTAATTTGAAAAAGATTGAGTGATTGATTAGAACAAGGGATGGCCCAGAGGGCAGCTAACAAGGGACTTAGACATTAATAGGGCCCACTAGAACGAAGACTGATGACTCATCTTCATGGTTAGGATGACGATGCGCTGTGTCCTTTGAGTCTTAATGCTCCGTCTCGTAATTGAGCCACCTCTATCTAAAAACCAAACGTAAAAGCATGGATTAGATTTAGATATATGTCGATCTTTGGATGAGATTGGGGGGACCCATTTCAGCAGCGGTAGCTTTGCCCTTTGTTACTTTTGAAATTCTGTAATGATCACCCAACCTAATCATTTAACATCATACTGTCACTTGGAAAAAAATAAATAAATACTATTATTATTGTAGTTTTATTATATACGTCCCCGACAGGAGCGATCATGTAAGTACTAAGCACTATCTGTCATGTGTGAAAGTTCACTCTTTGCCCTTTCTTCCATCATTTTTCCTCTCATTAGAATTATCACTGTTTACCATTGAAAATTAGTCTAATTAGTAAGAAGTTTGTTCATAATTCATAAAATTGCAAATTCCAATTTTACTATTACTATTAGAACTTTATTAGTTAATGATTTGTAAGTATTTCAGTAGGTACTCTTTAAGTTTTGAGATATTTTCTGAACTTAGTGAGCTTTAGAACCCAACTCCCTTGAACTCTCAATAATAAAAAAAAATAAAAAATAAAATAAAAATAATGGAATCATCACTATTCAACCAGTTTTTGGTGTGCCGTGCTTAACATTTGTTAAGCATACGAAAGAATACAAAATGTACGGCAATAAATTGAGGTTCATGATTGAGGTTGAAGTCAATAATTTTAGTTCGTGAAAGAGAAGTTAAATCCTATTGTACGAATTACTAATATTCTGAGAGGCGCAATAATACACACACGTCTCCTGTTAAAGTCACAAAACTTCAAAAGGCAATAATGAAAAGAGGACCTTTCGGGAGAATGCGTCATTTGCTGGACAAGATAACTAGTTAGAAATAAATGCTAAATTGAGAGATGGCTGAAGCGAGAGCATAGGATCCCAAATTGAGTCGCCAAATTCAACCTCGCCAAGTTTGATTTTTCAAAGTTTCATCCACGGAGGCTTTTAAACTATGACTGTGACTCTCTGACCCAAAACCCATACACGTGTTTTTTTCTTTCTCACCTTCGTTCGCGTCTGTGTTTTTATATATATATGGCAAAGACAAAGTAACTCTGACAGTAAATCCAGTCATCATTCTTATTCCCATAGTTGTCAAAATTAACGTAAAGTAAAGGGAACTTGGTTCATTGAACTACAATAGTACTGTAGGGTCTATTATGGACGCAGGGGGCTACTCTGTATTGTTCTGAGAGATGATCGGTTAGAAATACGACAAACAAACAAGTTACTGCTGCAAAGTAAATCTGGTTTTTAAAGTCCTTGTCTTCTTATGGCATATTATATGGCCTGGCAACCCAAGAAATAAAAGAGACTGGAATGGTCAAATCTTCAATGATATAGCTGTCACCCATTTTTTGCATATATTAAATTATTGGTGACGCCACTGGAAAAGTTGGTACATGGTTAAAAATGGGACGCGAATGGGTTCATGATAATACTAGCTGCTTTCTCATTGTTCTTCTTCTTGTTGCAGTAGTAAAAGAGAGCTAATATATAATTGGGACATCACATTTATGAAATGGTGAAGGGAAAGATACGTAGTACCTTACAGATAATCCTTCTAATAATGATAGTTTAGCCATATACTTAATTAGCAAGGATATTTTAGGAATGACAACACTTATTTATTATAAATAACCGAACTTAACTTACTTCTTTAATTTCCTCAAATAAGTTAATATTTAAGTACTTATAGATTAACCGTCTTTTTAATTGAAAGGAATACTGTCAAATTTAGAGTGTTAGTGTCCAAATTAGATTACATCACCCACTTTTTTTTTTTTTTGGCTGGCTAAGTGTCTATGCACACCAGGTCAATCAACCGCTCACAATCCCCAATGAACATTCCGATCAATTTCTAAACTTGTGATTCCTAATATTTGAGACTCCTTTACCAACTTACTTCCTAGCATATTAGGTAACCGACAAGACTTTATGGCATAAATAACAGAGTCCTCTTATGTGAATGCAAGAACATTAGTACATATCTACAGCCCCTTCCTTTAATTATCACTAGAATTTTTACCCCGACAAGCTTCACTAAAGTAAAAAAAAAAAAAAAATCATTACTTATGTTTTAAAATTTAATAACGTTTTACCTTTGCCCAAGTCTAGTAACTGACGAATCTACGAAAAATAATGGTCTTCATAGTAATGAATTAAAAAAACAAAATTATACATTCATGTAATAAATTAAATAAGATGACTGATATTAATAACAAACAAAACAAAAACTCTTTCTTCTATGAATATGATTAGAAGACTATCTTTTGCGCCCCCATCACGCATGGTACTATGAAACCTGTAATATAACAACGTAGTCAAATTATCAACTCCCAAACTACGAAATCCATCATTTATTTCAAACCCCCATATCACGACATTTGAAATAATATTTCTTGTGTAACATTATTATTTAATACGAAACAACGGTAATGTAAAGTTCTGTATCACTCATGTGGGGTTTGCATTCAAATTCATTCATACTACTCCCAATTTGGTATTGAAAGATGAGAGTGAAACACTTTGGGGGTAATAACATTTAATATACGACAACGGTAATGCAAGGTTTTTAATGAATTTGTCTCCACAGTATAACACAACACAGCACCAAATGTGGAATAATAATTCCCGTAAGTTAAGTTTGTTCAAATCTGGCGGGCCCGGCGGCTCCCCATTACCGACACTGCGTACTCCAAACGACACTCACCTAACTTCAATTTTCGCACCAAACGACATCTCTTCCCCCCGCACATGCGCTCCTTCCTTTCAACCCCACACAACGCAGCCTGCTTTCCCATCATTATTTACAGTATATTATTTATTTAATTAATTACTATCATTATTCGAGTTCTTTTCTCTCACTCTCACAATATTTTAATGCCATTATTCTTGTCGTTTCATATGTTTTCTTCTTCTTCTTTTTTTACATTGTCATTTCACTAATTTAATTTGTTACCTCTTTTTTGATGGCCACAACCATGTGATTTTGTCCCTGTCGTTTATTCGAAAATCTCCAGCTCATCCGTCCATCACACACAAATCACTAATGTTAGGATTGGTTCATAAAAATGTAGCGTCTTGATTATTACTGATTTAAGCGTTAAAAAAACATTGATTTTATTTATTATAAGCTTTGGTTAATTACGTGTTACTCACGATATGACTTTTTTTTGGGGCCCAATCGCTCGAAAAATAATTGATCGAAAATATAATGAAGGGATAATAGAGACATCCATACAATCACCAAAACTAAATTCTAAGAGATGACAAACAAATTAAATTAGATGAGCATCGAAATTAGATCACTCAATCAAGAACAACTGTAGGGTTTTTTTTTCTTTCAAAATAAATGAGACCCAAGATTATTTTGTATAGTAATTAGAACGTGTTGGGGTGCTAGTATATATATATGTTTCATATCTAACCTGCATTTTTTAATTAATTAGTTAGTAAAGTAAATGAAATTAATTAATTAATTAAAGTATCAAAGAGAGAGACTGACTTATTATATTTTTCTCCAATGAAAAACAAAATCTGTACAAGCATCGGATCTGGATCTGCACAACACATGGGCAGTCATAATATCACCATGCATGTGTTTCCACGACATATATAACACTTAATTAAGGTCAATTTGACAAATAATTAATTAATAAGATCACCGAAAAGGAATTAAACACGTTTCTCTCTCTATTCCATAAAAACTAAAAAGAACACGATTCACTTTTCGAGGAAGGCCTCCGAAGGATATTGTGGCACGTAATATTTTCCCACGTTATGTACAGAAGACACGCAAGTGGATGTGTTATAAAAATATTACCACTATTTAGTTTAATTGCAGGACTTTAATTTGTTTTCAACTAAACTATTAATTAAGGAAGTAAAATAAATATAGATATCGTTGGAATTATAATTATAATTGGAGGCTTAATTAACCTTCTTCTCTCTTTTTTTTTGGCCAACGGCTTAATTAACTTTCTTATTTCAACGTGGGAACAGCCAATATAGACTTTTTCTGCTATAATGAATGCAGAACATTGTCCAGACATGACATTCAATCAGAACATATATAATGTATATTTATCAATCACATCAATATTGTGTCTCTCAATGATGCCCAATTTGTCTCTTAACTTATTTTTCAAATTTTATTGTTTTATGATATGCTTATACTACTATATATATGAATTAATAAATAAAATCATGCTATATAATTTTGAATGGCTAGATTATAGTGGGCGTCTAGCCATCGAGTTTGTCATGC